ATCACCTTTAGTACCCTCATTAAAATCCTAATCCTAAAGCTATTTTCCACAAAGATGTTATTTATCGACACCATAACCCACCACCAGTTATACTCTTCTTCAAACATCCCAATGGTTCAAGCATCTTTGGGCCCACTTCTGTAACAATTTAGAGCCTTATCCAACCATAATCATAAGGTTCAATTAATTTGGCATTATGCCAAAGAAAGTGTCACAACTGGGACTTTAGCATTAAAGGCAAGAGAATGTTGGAGCTTGGAGCTTGCTACACCTTCTTATATTATTGGTAGATTTGTCTCTAATAGGGGAGAATCTCTTATATTTGGATTTAATTTATTTCTATTTTTATGGCTTTTATAAAATCAAGAAAGATAAAAATAGTTATTTCATACAGTTTGTAAGTCTGTGATATGTGTAAAATTCCAACTAATTGGCTCTACTTGTACTACTAGTCTATTACTCTTTTGGGAACTTATTTTTCACCCATTTATTGAGTGAAATATTTAAGTGAGGATGTGCTCCACATTAAGGGCTTAAACATTTCAAATGATTTCTTAACTTAGACATGGATTGAGTTAGTTTTGCTTACATAAAGATTATTTTTTATCAAAATTACAAAAAAAAAAAAATTCTAGCATATTATCTAATTCTTGTAGTCAAGCCATGCTCCCAAGTCAACCATTATGAATCAAATTGATGGCTTGACGATAATGAAAAATGTTTCAAGCACTAGGCTACAAGAAAATAAGATGTGAATATGAGAACTCTTAGAAGAGAATAGAACCCAAATGCAAGAGAGTAAATACCCAATATAAAAACTGAGAGACCAAATGCAAGCTTTTATGTCCCAAATGCAACATCATACCACTAGAGCACACATACCCACTCATACACCCACACTAATTAGCAATGATGATCTATAACCCTTTTTTTAATCATATTGGATAACTTTTATAATGATAAAAAAATTAAGAATTAGAGACCATCACTTTAATCCTATTAATGAACTAAAGATGAAAATATACTTAATCATAAATGTCCAACAAAAGGACAATATTGCTTGATTATAAGCTTTGTTCATCTCCAAGCTCATAGCAATATTGGAACTTTTGTTAAAGATTAATATCATGAAGAATATCCATATATGGCAAGAATAATATAGTTCAACATATTGAGACTTTTGAAAAAATCATCATAATTGGTAGAAATGATTATATCCTATCTTTGTTAAGTCCCATAAAAGCACCACCCACTTCTTTATCTTGTTAGGGCATTACACTTCGATATAAATCTAAGGATGTTATGTGCATGTCACATTGACTATGCTATTAATGATTTAAAAAGACAGCATATTTTTGTAGGCATTTTTATGATTATTTCCCATAACTAATGATCGATATTGTTTAATTTATTGTGCTTATGAATGTATAATTTAAGGTCTTAGAAAAGGGATCACGTCACTCTTAAGATTGAACTCAATAATTCATGCATATATTCTATTCTTCTCCTTTTCCATCCCTATTCCTTCAAGGAGAGTTGGACTTCCTAGAATATACTATTTCTTTTCTCATATGAGAATCCCCCTCATCATTGTACATGGGCTGTAGGCTATTTTAAAGCACTCGTAGACACTTGTAACACATGCAAAGAAGAATTTTGTTGGCGATAAAGAAGAAACCCCAAGTGGAACAAGAGATAAAATGAAGAGATCTTGACTATAATAATTTCAACTAAGATTTCTATTGCAAAAGTAGTATCTACTTCCTTTTTTTAGTGAAATTGCGTGGGGGCTTCCTAATAACTCCCTCGAAGATAGATAGTTATCCTCTACAGCTGAGGCAGATTTGAAGATTATCTTATATTAAAACATAGAAGAGGTTCTCTCATTTATCTTCTTTTTGCTCTCTGAAAACCCCCAGAAGAACTAAATTATCATCCGTTCATTATTTATTTTTTATTTTTGGTTGTTTCAACGAAAGTCTTTTCAGATAAATGATCTTTTTCAGCCATCACTCTCTGTAAGAAGAAAATTTATTTCCGGAATTCAAAAGTATAAAGGCCTCTAATTAAGAACGGTGTTGTTATCAGCTACTGTCATCATTAAGGCGAGTCAAGATACAAAGCTTTCATGGGTCCCTCTGAAAGCGGCTGGATAAACCCTATTCTACACGCCGGGCAGATCAAAGGCGAAAGTGACGCAGGGACTCGCTTTCTTCACCTTATCGTTATTTGCCTTTCTTTTCTTAGCATAGACGAATCTAATTGTTAATTGGTTAGAAAGAGAGATTAATAGACAAGCTTGGTTTATATAAACTGTGCCGTTGTTGTTCTTCGCTGATATACTTTTTTTACAAGTACATGTAAAAATAATACAGTGTAGCAGAAGTTAGTTAATTCTCTGCATAATATGTGTTCTTCTTAGCTACCACGCATCTTGTAACGTCTCCAAGCATCTAAAATATTAATATCCTATGCACGGATAGTTCATGCATCTGGTCGTAAAAGGGTAAGGCTTTGTAGCGCTGTGATTGGGAGTTTGACCATCTTTACATAAACCAAAGTTTGAGCACACTAATCATTAATTTTTAATAGTTTTATGATTTAGAGGCTGCTTGATTGCAAGTTAAATTAGCTTAAAGTATATCAAATTCTTTACTTGTGAAATTTCAGATGATTCATTAGATGAAAAGTAAATTTCAATACAGTTATACTTCTCTATCCAATATATTTTCAATGTATTTATAATTTTTTCGATTTGAGTGAGTTTTAAATGCATTGCTTGAGTGAAATGCTACCAAATATCATGGTTAGGGTGGACTTAGGAAGAACTCAATGTGGCCGATCGCTTATCCTTGAATTTTTTCAATAAATACATTTGTCCAAAAATCTATGACTTTTTTTTTAATATTTCACTCCAAAGGTTATATACGTACTGATCATATTTTGCTCACCCTTAAAAGATTGGTTGGTTCCGCCCCTTAAAAAGAGTGATTGATTCTACCAGCTGCGTACTATGATCATTCGTCAGTCCACAACAATCGCTAATTGCTACCACCACCACCCAGCGCCGCTGCAAGCCACCCATATATATATATATATATATATATATCCATTTGAACATATTTGTTTTTATTCTTAGATGACATACCAAATTTTTTTTGTTATTTGGATTAAGTTTTAATCAAAATTAGATAACAGTTCGTGTAAGGTAACATATACATAGATCAAATGCACAAAGCTAATTGCAGTTGAGAGGACCTAGCGAGTCTACACTTGAATGGTTGAGATAACTGAACTAGCTCGAACTATTTTTGAAGTGATAAGTTTGTATTAGTAGAAAATTGATCATAGTTATCCACAGTCATCAAAGACAAGTTACTCAAACAACAACTAGGAACTCAACAGAGGTTTAAAAAAAATGCAAGACAGACATGCATACTCGTCCAATAATACTCGACAGCCAGTACTAATTTGGCCATCACTCAGAAGTCTTCTAAAAATAATCTATACCTGCCCAACTACCAACAGTCATCCTTAGTAATTGTCGTTCTCTTCTTGTTGAGCTCATCCAAGATTTGCCCTTCTTCACAACATCGACTTAGCTGGTAATCAGCGTTGGACCATGCTTATGTTAGTCTGATTTCTATGTAGAACATCTAATAACATGAATATTTCTTCTCACTATAATGAGGGGTTTAAGTGTCTGGCATGTGGAATTAAATATAGCCACGATTTTACCTCTAAATATTAAGAAGTTCAACTCTCTCTCTCTATGGGGGGTAGGGTATGACAAATCAAACAAAAAGATAAGTAATAAATCACAATTTGCGAAACACAAGTAGACATAAGATTTATGTAGAAAATTCAAAACTGGAAAAAATCACGGGGTAGGAGGACTGATATTACCCCGGAGTCTCACATCAGACCGAGATGTCAAGTTCATTAGCCATTTTTGGCGCGAACTTTGGAAGAGGCTGAACACTGAAATCAATCTTTCCTCGGCGTATCATCCCCAGTCGGACGGCCAAACGGAGGTAGTCAACCGCACTCTAGCAAGTATGCTCCGCTGTCTCGTCCAACAGCACCCAAAACGATGGGAAGAGTTCCTCGGCCAGGCCGAATTTGCATACAACTCCATGCCGAATCGTTCGACTGGCAAATGTCCATTTTCAATTGTCTATACTAAGATGCCTAATCATCTTGTAGATTTGACTATCATCCCTAAATGCCATAGCATTGCAGCTGCTAAAACATCCACTCAATGTGCAGACCTCATACAAGACGTTAAGGAGAAATTCACTAGTTCCTACTCTCAATACAAGCAAAAAGCTGATCAGCACCGAAGGCACAAAGTTTTTAAAACGGGCGATCTTGTTATGCTGCGCGTCCGCAAAGAGCGCCTCCCACCGGGTACTCATTCCAAACTTAGTCAAAAGAACATTGGGCCCTTTCCTATATTGAGGCGTATCAATGACAATGCTTACATTGTTGACCTCCCTCCGGATTTTAAAATGTCCAATACGTTTAACGTATCCGATATCCGTACATACCATCCACCGGATGAAGCTCCCACTATTGTGACTTCGCCGGAGACGAGCTCTTCTGAAGACGGGGAGACCTGATGCAGCGCACATGCCACCACCGTTATAAGGGACGCTACTTACTTTTGCTTTCTGGCCACCATACCCACTTATCTGCCTTTTTTCCATTAGCTATTACTTATTTCAGCATTTCTAATATTTAGTATTATTATATGTGCTTTTTTAGTCGCCTCACCTGATATAGCAATTAGAAAGAATACCGGAAGCATATGTACCGGAGCTCAAAGAAAAAGCAAGATAGAAGAAATACAGAAGACTCTTCCTAGCATTGGCACTGTTCCATTGCTTTTCCAGTTTTTCCTTGTTTTTCTTTCCCTGTTTTTGTTTGCAGGTTGTGTTCGTTGGCCAACTCCCAGCTGCTGCACCAGATTTTGGTATCAGAGCTAGCATTTGGTTCCAATGGCGGAGGGGAGTAAACGTCAGGCTTCCGACGGCGATCGAAGCCTTGAAGCTTTGTGGGCTGCTCACAACAGCACCACAAAACAACTAGAAGAGCTTAACGCCGCTTTCTACAGGTTCACAGTGGAAATGCGGAACATAGTGCAGTCGCGTCATTGATACTACGCTGGTGGCAATCATTGGTGTGCTCTTTCGAGTTGGTAGTTTTTCGTCGCTTTAGCCACCATGGACGGTCCTGGTGTGGTTTAAGTGACGCTGGAAGCTTCAACCACTTACTGAGCTCACGTTTTATTGTATTTTCTCTTTATTTTTTCCCTGTTTTTTCTTATGTTGTAACGGTTGTTTTTATTTGAAATGAATCTTGTTTTTTGAAAAAAAAAAAAAAAAACAGTTTGATTTTGACACGCACAATCTAAGGCTTCGTTTGAGACGGCTTTATTATTGCTTTTTAAAGCAGCTTTTTAGTACAAAAGTTAACATTTTTGTACTCAAAAGCTGTTTTAAGAAGTAATAAGAAAGCCATCCCAAACGAAGCCTAAGTTGAACATCCCGAGTCAAATCTCATGAGGATAATTCATTTAGAAATTTAGCTGTCAAGCATATCAGATGTGAAGATTCTCAAGAATGATGAGTACTTTATATAATGTTCATAATTGGAAGGACACATTAAGGGATAGGATGTAACTATATTGATGAGAAAAATTGAAGCACAATTTTTTCCTATACTTTGAAATGGTTTATTTAGGTGTAGTATGGCTTTGAAATGTATAGTTTTGAATATTTTTTCGTGGTATCAGAGCTCTTTATGGATCTTTGGCATTGCTTGTTTGATGCAGCGCACATGCCACCACCGTTATAAGGGACGTTACTTACTTTTTGCCACCATACCCACTTATCTGCCTTTTTTCCATTAGCTATTACTTATTTCAGCATTTCCAGTATTTAGTATTATTATATGTGCTTTTTAGTCGCCTCACCTGATATAGCAATTAGAAAGAATACCGGAAGTATATGTACCGGAGCTCAAAGAAAAGCAAACTAGAAGAAATACAGAAGACTCTTCCTAGCATTGGCACTGTTCCATTGCTTTTCCAGTTTTTCCTTGTTTTTCTTTCCCTGTTTTTGTTTGCATGTTGTGTTCGTTGGCCAACTCCCCGCTGCTGCACCAGATTTTGGTATCAGAGCTAGCATTTGGTTCCAATGGCGTAAGCGCCAGGCTTCCGACGGCGATCGAAGCCTTGAAGCTTTGTGGGCTGCTCACAATAGCACCACAAAGCAACTAGAAGAGCTTAACGCCGCTTTCTACAGGTTCACAGTGGAAATGCGGAACATAGTGCAGCCGATTCCTCCAGTTCCTGTTCCAGCTTCAGTTCCAGTTCCAGATCGCCGCCCTCCGTTTCAAAATCCAAGACCACCAGTTCCACGGGATACGGCTCGGATTGGTCGCAATCAACGACGTCCTCCCACACCGACACCGGATCTTTCCGAATCCGAAGACGAGATTAATGATGAGGCGAACAGAGACTGGCCCGATTCGGGTGAAGATGAAGTAGACGCACTTCCGGCGAGACACAGGGGTCGCGGCTACCCTCGGCACCAAGGGCAGAATGATTTTCGTGTTAAGCTCGACATCCCGTTTTTTGACGGGAAGTTACACATTGAGGACTATTTGGATTGGGAGCGGGCCGTCGAGACGTTCATTGACTATATGGAAATCCCACCTGAGAAACAGGTGAAGTATGTAGCCTGTCGGCTGAGGGGCGGAGCTAGCGCATGGTGGATGCAAATTCAGCAATCACGCAGGCGAGAAGGTAAGGGACCGGTACGAAATTGGTATCGATTGAAACAGTTATTGAGAGGACATTACCTTCCGACAGACTATGAGCAAATGTTATACCATCAGTACCAGCATTGCGCACAAGGTAGCCGATCGGTCTCTGACTATACGGAGGAATTTTACCGTTTGAGCGCACGGAACAATCTTAATGAAACAGAAAACCAGCTAGTTGCTCGTTATATTGGGGGGCTCAGGGATACAATTCAGGACAAATTGGAGCTCAACTCAGTTTGGTCTGTGTCGCAAGCAGTTAATTTCGCACTGAAGGTTGAATTACAACTACAAAGGCACTCCCGTACCCAAACCACCCGTCGGTTTATGCCTGACAATCGACTGGACTTCTCTAAATCACCTACTGCTTCCTCAAAGACTTCCCAAGCTGCCACGCCACAAACGGGTACCGCTAGTGCCAATGTGAAGGGACAAGTTCCAACCAAGACACCTACTCGCGAGAATACGCGTGATAATCCATACGCCAGACCCACTACATTAAAATGCTTTCGCTGTTTTCAATCAGGACATAAGTCCAACGAATGTCCGAATAGGCAACAAGTACAAATGTTAGATGGGGAACAAGATGGGTCCGCGGCGCAGGTCGTGACCGAGACTGATGGCGAGGAAGAAATTTTACAAGGTGACAGTGGAGAGCCTCTAATCTGCATTTTGGAAAAGCTGCTGCTCACACCGCGAACTATGGGGGATTCACAGCGTAATGCACTGTTCCGTACCCGCTGCACCATTAATGGGAAAGTATGTGACCTCCTTGTTGACAGTGGCTGTACCGAGAATATCATTTCTCGCAACGCCGTTACCGCCCTACAATTGAAAACAACTAAGAATCCAAATCCCTATAAAATTAGCTGGGTAAAGAAGGGCATGGAAATCGGCGTATCGGACATGTGTAGAGTTACATTTTCTATCGGAAAACACTACACCTGTGAGGTGTTGTGTGATGTATTGGATATGGACGTTTGCCATTTGATTCTGGGACGACCCTGGCAATTCGATTGCGGCGCTATATATGACTGTCGTGCAAACGTGTACTCTTTTGACTGGAAAAACAAAAGAATCAAATTGTTGCCTGGAAGAAATAATACTACTTCGGCTACCAAAAATGAGAAAGCAGCCATTTGCATTATTCCTGGATCTGCCATGATACAATGTCAGATCGCCAAGTTACCAATTCTAGCATTGATGGTTACCGACAATACCAAGTGTAGCAAGAGCAACCCGCCCCCAGCTCAAATCCAAACCGTTCTAACAGAATACCAGGATCTCTTACCTGCGGAGCTTCCCACAGGTTTGCCACCTATCCGTCAGTTGCAGCATCAAATTGAATTCATCCCAGGAGCCATATTACCGAATTTACCCCACTACCGAATGAGCCCAAAGGAGCATTCCATTCTCCAGGGAATAGTGGATGAGCTGCTTCAAAAACAACTCATACAACCAAGTATGAGCCCTTGTGCAGTTCCCGCCTTGATTGTGCCTAAGAAGGACGGACAATGGCGTATGTGCATCGACAGCCGCGCAATCAACCGGATAACAGTTAAGTATCGATTCCCGATGCCTAGAATTGAAGATTTGTTGGACAAGCTTGCGGGTGCCACAATTTTCTCAAAGCTAGACTTGCGAAGCGGCTATCATCAAATCCGAATTCGACAAGGCGACGAGTGGAAAACAGCCTTCAAGACTAAGGAAGGGCTTTTCGAATGGAAAGTGATGCCATTTGGGTTGTGTAACGCTCCATCGACCTTCATGCGCCTTATGAATGAGTTGCTCAAGCCGTTTCTAGACAATTTCTGTGTCGTTTATTTTGACGACATACTGGTGTATAGCTCTTGCCTTGAGGACCATTTGAATCACCTGAAACAGATTTTTGACTGTTTGAGAAGTAACAAACTGTTTTTAAATGAAAGCAAGTGTGAGTTTGCTGTTCATGAAGTCCACTTCCTTGGATTCATCTTGTCTGCTGCTGGAGTTCATATGGATCCCAGAAAAATTTCGGCTATTCTTGAATAGCCGGTACCTCGGAGCATCACCGAAGTCCGAAGTTTTCATGGCCTTGCTAACTTCTATCGTCGGTTCGTCAAAGGCTTTAGCATTATCATGTCGCCCATTACAGATTGTTTGAAACTTAAATCTTTTGAATGGACCTCCTCGCAACAGCAGAGCTTCGAAAGCATCAAGACTGCGCTCACCTCAGCACCGGTTCTGGCCCTGCCCGATTTCAACAAACCCTTCCAGGTAGATACGGATGCTTCTGCTACCGGTGTCGGTGCCGTATTATCCCAGGATGACAAGCCTGTCGAGTTCTTCAGTGAGAAACTCAGCCCCGCCCGACAAAAATGGTCAGCATATGAGCAGGAATTATACGCAGTCATTCGAGCGCTCAAACAATGGGAGCATTACCTTCTTCATCAGGATTTCATTCTCTGCAGCGACAACCAAGCTCTGCAATACATTAACAACCAGAAAAACATTAACCGATTACATGCTCGTTGGATTGTTTTTTTGCAGAAGTTCAGCTTCGTAATTAAGCGAAAGGCAGATAAGTGGGTATGGTGGCCAGAAAGCAAAAGTAAGTAGCGTCCCTTATAACGGTGGTGGCATGTGCGCTGCATCAAGGACGGCTGCAGTATAGAGAAAATAAAAGGTCGAACCCCGTATGGGGACGCTGCCTGCTTGGCATGGACCCCTGACACATCTGCCAAGCGAATAACAGTCAAGGACATAAACAAATAAGGTTCGAGCTAAATTCTAGGCAACTCCAACACACACACTCTCTCTCAACTACTGTACAATTGAGTTGCAGCTAGCCTTCCTGGCGAAGTGTCCAACCTTGTTTCCTTGTATCAGTTCACTTGAGAGAATATAAATACTAATACATGCATCCTTTCTCACTCTTCTTCCATTTGTTTGTGTTGCATTTTAAGGTTCAACTGATTTTTATCGAACAAATTTGAACCTAATTAACTACTTCGCTTTACTGAGCTTAAAGTTCTGAGTAAGTCTGAGATCAAACTAAGAAAATTGTTTCCAATTTTTTAAATTTTAAGTGGGGATCAATTTGATATCTATCATTCGCAGCATTGGCCTTTAACTCCATCCAGTGCAATAATTTCAAAGTATTATACAATTAATCAAGCTTTAAGCATCTTTCATGACTCCTGTATACACCACCAATTAATGACTAAGCCCTTAGAATATTGCAACGACCCATCTTTGTTAATGTTAAAAGGTCGTCGTCAGTGGCAAGGCAGGCCAGCTTTAAAGCCAACAAGATGGTTAAGCACGACAAGTCACCCTTGGCTCACGACAAAATATCTAATTAGTCCTTTGACTTACATGCATGAATGGCTAGCAACCATGTCATATTCCTAGCTAGCTAGGTTGTCTAGCAACTTGAGCAGTGCTTTGCTCAACCGAAAGCCAACGGGCTGATTTCGCTCGAGAACTATAATATAATTATAATCACTTAATTTAACACTATTTCGAATGCAAAGTTTCTCACATACTGAAAAAAGCTCGCCTTTTTTACTTTGTTTTTTTCTATATATGATCTTAGCTATATATGAATAATGCAAGAAATTAAAAGTCTTCATCCATTGATGTAATATTACGTTGCTAATTATCAGAGATAAGCATATATATTATGTTCACTAATTATCATCTATGGTAGTTGTTTTTCTCTTAGGTTTTAAACGGGGCATAGTAGTGTTTGAGAACGTGGCTGGGTAATTTGTTTATTCTATGGTTTACTAATCATTTATTTCTTATTCCGGTGTTTATTCTATGGTTTACTAATCATCCAATCTGATTCTGATTTTAGTGAGAATTTTTTCCTTAGTGCTTGTAACTAGATTGACATATTAGTTTTTAATTTTTATTTTTGTTAGTAGCTCTTTGAGTAGCAGAGTTATTTTTTTGATTAAAACCACCGAAGGGTTTACGTGTTAATCATCACAATCATAATAAAAAAAAAACAATGTCCTTATAGAGACCTCTAGCTCTCTACGGCTCGAATGAGCTAAAAAAGTCCAAAAAATACCTATGAGCAAGTGGCCTCTACTAATCACAACTAGATAATAACCTAATAACAAGCTAGGTGGGCTAGAAGCCAGCATCCAAAAAAGGTCCAAAAATAATGTTGAAGCTTCGCCTCCTTGCTCAAAAAATGAACATGCTCCAAATCCGACAATCCACCATTAACGTGCAACAAAGAAATGCAAAGAGCAGTAGTTTGTCAAATTGGGATGAAATTAATTGAAACACCTGCAACAAAACAGGAAAATACCCCCAAAAGAAACAAAAAGACAATCCAAAAGAGAGAGATATGCTCATAAACCAGCTTCAACAGGGTACCATTGGTGAATGAATATAGAATCATTACAGTTACACTTAATATATTTATAAAAATATCAGGATTTTTTCATAATAGTGAAAGAAACAACGCTATGCAAATACCAAGTTATCTGATGCCTGATGGAAAAAGAAACGTTGAAATCCAGCTGCAATCATTTATGTTGAATTAACACGTAAGCTTTTATATGAGTTAAGAAAAAAATAACTTTGGGTAAATATGACTTTTTTTTTTGCTTCATATAACATGAAAAAGATGCTTTGACTGTGCTAAGTTGATCGATGTGAGCACATTTCCTCATCTTCCTCACCATTTTTATAGCAGATAAATACATATACAATCAGAGCCTTTGATTTTAAACACCGAGGATTAAAAACTAAGAAATCTTACTATCATTATTCAAAGAATATTATAGGGCTTGTCATGCTACTTTTAAGGTAATAATTTTCAAATACACATGCTGTTAGACTGTGGCTTTTATGCAATATTTAATTACTAGAATTTCAACAATTGGACAAGTCTTCTTATTTGGAAAAATATTTTCGTTTCATGAAGAATTTTCTTACTATATCTCTCCTCTAATTAACAGATTTTGGTGTGTAAATTTGGTACAATTTTTTTATTACATTATAAAATTATTATAGAAAAATAATATTTTAAAGCTATTATAGAAATTAACTTTCTAACATAATTTATAAATGTTCAATTTAGTCCCAGTAAGAAAAAAAAAACTTTCTAATATAGTTTTTCTTTAAAGCATTGAAAAAAATAGTGATCAAATAAAAATTGTGATTGCGGTCTAAAAAATAAGCAAGTAAGAAAGTTATTCCAAGCTAAGTCTAAGCCTTCATTTGGAACAACTTTTATATTGCTTCTTAAAACAGAGTTTCAGCATAAAAATATTTATTTTTTACTAAAATTCTGTTTTAAGAAACAATAAAAAAGTCGTCCAAATGAAGCCTAAGTTTTGGTGGGATCCACTTTGGAGATCTTTTCTCTTATCTCTATTTGAAAGTATGAGCAAACAAAAGGGGGTGTTGTAAGACTGGGCTTGGAATGAATTCAAACTTAGCAATTAGTATGATAATATTACGGTCTCAGATTAGCTAAAAGTCTTTTCTCATTACTCCAACGTTTCATTTGGTGAAATTTTTTCTTGCAAGTGGTATCAAAGTTGGTGAAAGATTTGGGTCATTTAAATGACTAAGAATATTTCCTGATTGTGAAGTTTAATGGAAATTAAGGGCAGCTAGCTACACATGATGGCAAAGGTGTGAACTGTACGAAGGATATTCTTGCTCTACAGAGACTGCCGAATATTATTCAAATAGCTGAGGTTAATGCCGACTCTTATACGACCTTGACTCTGCTCATGTTAGACTAATTTTCTTGTTGGATCAAAGCTAAACCATACTGTACCCTCAACTGCTAGGGCTGAAGATATATAACTAAAAGTTGCATATATATCTGCCAGAAAATGAAGAATTTTTCGCCGAAAAATCTGACAGTAATACATAATTTTCTTGTAGTGTTGTGAGGCCGGATGAATTTTTTTTTTAAATCAAAGCGCTTGCTGGAAATTATTCAGGGATATAATTAAAATAAAATATGTATAAAAGAAATATAAAATTTTATACAAGTTCTTCCATTAATTACAATTTTCATAATGATAATGATGGAAGGAGAAATTTATTAGTTTTATGCACTTTATGTGTATTTTAATTTTAATGTATCTGTGATAGAGCCTACAAGAGATTATTTGTGCGGACATTGGATGGGAGAACCGTCCGGTTACGCTTGGTACCGAGCTCGATACCGACTAGGTAAGCGCGGTACCGCTCAGTAGTCTCCGGACCACATCCGGACTCCCCACCTAATAATTTGCCTAAACCCTACTGACTTTGCTTCTCTTATAATGAAAATTTAAGACAATCTGCATACTGTTTTTGTACATGGACCTATTTTTTTAATATTAATTAGGCTTAACAAATTACAATAATTGAGAGATCTGTAGTTCTAAAGTGTACCAGTGAGATGTCTTCTATCGCTGATATTTTTTTTTTCTTTTATGAAAAAGACTGGATTATCCATTCACATAATATAAACAAGAGTGCCGTTGGCAATAAAAATGTTATTGGTGATCCTTCGTTAGCTTTACCAAATTGTTTTTTAAGTAAAATATCAATTTTAAGCATGATTGAAGGTTGAAATCGATGGAGCATCTGAATGAGTTCATTTTAATTAATATAGTATAAACTAATTAAAGAAGCTTAGCATACACGAAACGGAAGAAGATTAGATGAGATTTCTTCTCACCTCTCTCTTTTGAGTTCTGACTTATGAAGATTTTAGTGAACATAGATAAACTGAACGATAGAGCACCGCAATGAATTACAGGTATTTAAGTATAAACAAAAGTATATTTTGTCACAATTTAATAGTTTATAGTCACATATATTATAATGGGGTGTCAATTTCGGGTCATGGGTCGGGTTCGGGTTGAACCTGAAACTGATCCGGTACTATTCGGGTCAACCCGAACCCGACCCGTTTCTGTAAACGGGTCGGTTTTCCGGACCCGAACCCGAACCCGACCCGCTTCGGGTCTGGGTCAACCCGACCCGACCCGAATGACCCGATTCGAACAAAAAACTGATAG